AAATGTGACGCCGCCGCCACCACAAAATAAATGTGTTTTTATTCCTTTGCAAAAGGAAGGGAAATGCTATTGGAATAATTCGTATAACGTTTTAAACATTGAGAAATAAAACGACTATTCTCGTTCAATGCGAATAATAACGATTCTTCTCGTAAAATACGAGCATACGAAACATTCTTCTCGTAAAATACGAATACCCGAATAGAGAATACGAAGTTAAGAAGTAATTTCCCATTTGATACGAAAAGTGGTACGATTACCCATCTAAGTATAAATAGAAGCTCAAAACAACGGGAATTCATTCCCAACTATTTCTCTTCTAACACCATCAACTCCTAACAATATCTCTTCGAACACCAACACCACTCTCATCAACCACCCCAACCATTCTCTAAAATAATATCAATTCTCAGTAAAAATATCTCTAATCTCACCGTTAAAATAAATATTGAGTTAAAAGGCAACTTGCAGTCAATTCATACTAACTTCTTTTCTAATAAAATATTTCTCAGCGAAGTTTAGATTTATTTTCTAAGTTAGAAAGTAGAAAGGCCCCTTTATTCCTAGCAAGCGTTTTGTCCGGCGCACATAGTGTTGCTAGCTCGTAATAATAGGTGAGGAGAGAATTAAGAGACATTGTTTCAGTTACAAAAAACACTACCCAGGAGCGGATCTGCGATTTTTTTGGGTAGGGGGATTATCAAAATATTTTTGAAATATTTACCGAACTTTTTTTTGATTTTTTGAGCTCTCCCAAATCCTAACAAAAAACCGTCTTCGACCAAATTTTTTGCGCCGCAGTGAAATTTGTGGAAAAGAAAACATGCCATAAAATGCTGATCAAAAAAGCGCGTTTTTTTTGCTCGCTCCCCTCAAAAAAATTAGTATCTATGTCTTGTCTTGATTATACAGTAATCAGAACCCATTTAAGCCAGTAAGACCACGGATACCACTCTTTGCGACCCGAAAGCGCATGTAATCAAGCACATGCTTTTTGCCACCTACGGTCAACTGAAAGAACTCTATCGAGGCACCAAAAATCCCCTCCCCATGATTTTGGTTTGTTTTTCGCAGAGTGATACATGGCTGCCGCGCATCATCGGTTGCAAAGTGAGCAATCACAACATATTTTCACTGCCAAAAATCAACAATAAATGCTACGCAGTAATTGAACCAATTGAGTTTTTTTTTTCAGAAGAAAACAAAGTGTTAAGCAAGCTTTTCAGTGAAACTTAAACAAACTTGTCAAAATAGAATAGTTAAAATTTCGAAAACGTTCTGAACCAAGCAACCACGCCAAAAATAAATCTTCCAATAAATATTTTTTTGGAAGTTTCTGCTTGTTGCCCTCGAACCAATGTTGAATTTTGCATGACATTAGCAATGGCACTGAAGTACACAATTGTATAAACCTTACTTTTATGATTCGCCACACACTCAGAAAAAAATGAACAACATTGCTCGTAACAAGGCAAAGCCTAACTTCCGACTGCTTTTGAACGTCTTTGAAATAGTTTTGCAAACCATCAATTTCAAAAAATTGTATAATTTCAATATTAATTTTTAAAAAAATCGATATTTTGATCATCTCGTTTTAATTCATTTTGGATTTACTTATGCGCGGATTAAATAACCGCCCACGCACTAATAGCACAAAAAATTTTGTGAATGACTGGTCCCAAGTTAGCCTAATTGGAACTTTTCAAACCCCCATATTTTTTCGAAAAACGATCCCACTTGAAACACCCGTGGAGATTAATTGAGATTTTGAAATTTTTAGAACTAACTCAGAGAGTATTTTCAGGTTAGGCACGCCATCTGGTCGTCAAGTTATCTTATTTTCGGCTGGATAGTTTACTGCAGTTTCTTAGACCAACACCGATCTTAATCTGACTCTACATTCTTAGGTCTCAGTATATCTTTACAAAACTTTCCAGTTAGGGCAAAACCCTGAATATTCCAGCTGCCCTTTGAGGCAGTAATGTCAAATCTTAGGTTGTTAAAACTTTAATTGTATATACAGGGTCTTTCAGGTAGAATGAATTTTTTTGAAACGTCTATAACTTTTAAACGGAACATTGGATTTAACTGATGCTTTTTACATTTATTATATAACAGATTAAGATTTTGAACACGTACATAAGAGTTATAATAACTGCTGGAAATACCCGCCATTTTCTTGAATACAAAGATGTAACCGCTTCTCAAAATTTGTTTCTGCTTTCACTCCCTGCGTCGGAGTTTTTGTTCCACAAGCATTCTCCACAGTTTGCATAAGATTTGGGACTGTCTAGGGGTGGGCATCAGATATCATTTTACCCAAATGACCCCATAGCCAAAAAATCCAATGGATTCAAGTCCGGGCTTTGGGGTGGCCAAGGAATCGCACTCCTCCTGCTTATAAACCTCAAATTTTGAGTGGAGCCATGTGAGGACTCTCACTGTGTAGTGGCACGTTGCACCTTCCTGCATAAACCACAGGCGCCGAAGATCGCGGAGTGTCAGAAGAATTGGCCAGTGTTTAGACTTCAACATGTCAAGATACGTCTCCTGGTTCAAAGTGACCGGATTGTCTCTTGCATCAACGAACCAGAATGGGCTCAATAAAGTACCTTTAAGCACCCCCACCCAGCTTATAGTCTTTTTCTTGCCTAGATATTTGCACTCCAATATTTCTCGGGGATTTACAAGGGCCCAGTGTCTCCGGTTCTGAGACTTTGGAACAGAGTCCATAACCCACCAATTTTATCGGAGAAGATGACATTCGAGGCAAAATTGGTTGTCAAAATGAGCATATTGATGAACAAAAGGCAAAAAGTGTGTCGCATTTGGTAATTGACTGGGGATATTTTCAAGGATTTAATAATCTTAAATGGCTTTAATTTTAGCTCTTTCGTGATCTTCCATGTTGTTGTTTTTGAGTATCCAAGGTTCGCTGCGGCTTTACTGATTGAGTGGGTAGGGTTTCTTCGGAAGTCAGCTTTAACCCTGTTTGTAGCATTGGTATCTTGCGTTATTCCTTTGCGATTGGAAGTCGCATGGGTGCTAGATAATCCTCTTGAAATTTTCCCCATACACGAGAAAAATGATGATCTTTCAATCTTGTGCTTTCAAGAGGTGTGATATTGAAGTCTTGGGTATATTGCCGGCGTAATAAGGTTGGATTGTCAAGTCTTGCAAATAAGCTAATAATGTGTTTCTTTTGCTCAACAGTAAAAAGCATAGTGAATATTCAAACACGGTAGAAAAGACTAACTGCATATGCTTACCGAGCCTGTGTGAACATGTTTTGTTACACGTGTGAGTTTCCCGCTGTAAACTTTCCCACGTGTTCAAAAATCTTATAACTCTTATGTACGTGTTCAAAAATCTTAATCAGTTATATAATAAATGTAAAAAAATCAGTTAAATCCAATGTTCCATTTAAAAGTTATAGACGTTTCAAAAGAACCATTCTAACTGAAAGACCCTGTAGATATAGTTAGAGCAATTAGCTTAGCTCAATTCAATTCCGAACATATGTGCAATGCTATATAATTCGCCAAGCAAAAATTAAACCGCGCTACAGCCTCAGGTTAGTATAGTGGTGTCTGCGCTGTAAATATGTGCCAAGGGGCAATAATTTTAAATAAAAAAACCGACCCAAGCATATATAATCCTCAGTTTTTTCGAAAATCGAAATAAAAAATACTGTGAAAGCGATTTGTGGGAGATCAAAATTATTCTGCATTCTTTGAAAGTGATTTTGCACTTATGAATAAAAAAATTTGTTATGGAAAAGATTGGTTAGTAATAAACACTTAACAATCATATTCAAAACAAAAAAAAACTTGAAGCAACATTTATACATAAAACTCGGAATGTTTCGTAGCATAACAGGAAGGATTTCCAGAATTCAAAACAATTGAAGCACTCTGAGTACAAACGTTAGCAATGTGATTTATTGGAAAAGTGTATTTTGCGGAGGGAAAAAATCCAAAGATTGACATTAACATCAAATCATTCAACTTATCAAATTAACATTAAAATCATAGACAAACAAACAATTTGAATGACACATAAACAGAAGAAAACCTAAAACCCAACAAAACTGCTCGTATCAGGGCGAAGCCTTGAATTTTCCGACTGCCTCTCAAGGTCTATGGAGCAGTAACAACATGAAAAAATTAAATGTGATAAATAAAAACTTTTTTTTTTTAATTTGAACTGTTTTGTGAAAATAATCTCCTCACACGCCATATAAAGCACAAAGTGATAGATTTCGTTCCTAATAACAAATCAATAATGGCAAATAAGCTACCTTCAAACAATTTGGAACGATTTCTAAGACAGCTTAAAGCTCCGCTTACGCGTTAATAGCGGGAAATATATCGCCCGTTAATTGTCCCACATTGGCCAAATTGGCAATCTTTAAACCCCAATAACTTTACGAAAAATGATCACAGGTAAATTATCTTTTCAAATTGAAGCTCAGGACAACAAAAAATTTTGAATGATAAAAAAAACGTCAAAAATGGCTAGTTAAAAAGTCGAAATTTGTCTGAAGAAAAAAAAACCCATCCCGAGCACAAATATTCCGTTATTTTCGTTAGGAAAGTCGGAACAAAAACGAAAAGCAATAACAAAACAGTGTGCATTCAGTTCAAAGCCCACGTGGGAGCTTGATTTTGTCTTCCTTTTTGCGTATGAAATTGAATTAAATTTGAACATAAAACAAACTCAGACCACGAACACCAAATTTGAGCGCGAATAATTTAATCAGAATAAGTAGAAAAAACTGACTATTTTCAAGAAAATAATAATTTGGTTGAAAAGCAATTTTTATTAATTCTGCATTTTTTTCGAAAGACATGGTTAGTGATTCTTGATAGAAATCTTAGATACATGTATATGGCGCATTTATTTTTATGGTGAGCAAATCGGATATAGAAAATTTGTGAATTTCAACTGTTTTTCACGCAACTTATGTCAATATAATTAATGCGTAGTAAGAAAATAACCTTTGCTGTCCTCAAATATGTCGAACATGTTGATAAGTTTCCAATGCATGTTGATCAGAGTTTCGAACTGGGACGCCAGAACTGCTACGCGACTATTGCCGACATTAACCTCTCTGCTGATCGCAGTCTGTGATATCACCTCGTCAACATTACCCGTGTGATAACCACTGAGACAGTAGAAGTTACTAAATAATTAAGCTCATGTGATAAAAATACGATAAATGTATAATGTCAATTGATCAAAATGAACGTTTCTGAAAAATTCCGTTTCGAGACAAAAAACAGAGTGAATTTATAGTCTTTGAGTCACGTCACATTGCGGGAGGCTCAAATGACCAAATGGCTGGTGATTCAAACTTTATATCAGACCAAGTTACCCCCCCCCCCCCTCCCCAGCATTTTTGTACGCAGCGCTAAACAAATGTCGGATCTACTTAACAACCGCCCTTCCTTTGGTATCTACTAAATAATTGCCATCCCTATAAATAAAAGCGGTAAATTAGCACAAGAGCGTTCCCGCATCCAAGTTTAGGCGTAAATAATCGATTATAACGGATTATTATGATGATTTTTTGACAATTATAATCGATTATAATTACCAAAATTAGGTCTTTAAGGGATTTATAATTGATTATAATCGTGATATTTTCGAAGAGATTATTATCTTTTATAATCGATTATAATTGATTTTAGTTCTTACTAAAAACCCTTAAAATCAATTATAATCGATTATAATCGATTATAATCTATTATTTTGCCGAAATTTTCTCATATTCGAAATTTATCTATGGGTTATTTTTTGTGTCAATAAAAAAACTCTGAAAGAGAGATCTCTTGAACACTTTGGTTCATCTGAAAACAAAGTTATACCACGAAACAAAAGTTTCATAGATATCCTTTCATATGAGTGGAAAAGTTCTCGCGGTAGATGAAAAATAAATCTTCCGAATCAATCATGGAACTAAATCAATCTGCTGATGTTTTGGTGTTTCAAAAAGCTTAAAATATGCATCACAAAACAACTCTAATGGGGAAGAAATGAAAAAAAAACTTATAAATTTGAACTAATTGGAAAACTTTAAAAACATTTTTCTCATTTTTCATAGGAACCAACGTACACAAAAAGCATAAAATATAAGCAATTTAGATGCAACTTCGAAGACAAAAATGGACAAACAAAAGGGATTATAATCAATTATAATCAATTATAATGGATTTTTGTGCAAAACTAATAAAATAGAAATTTGAATAAAAATAATGGATTATAATCAATTATAATCGATTATAATTGTATCAAAAAATAGACGAATAAATAATCGATTATAATGGAATATAATGGATTATAATTAATTATAATTTGAATTTAAAAAGAGAGATTATAATCGATTATTAATTGATTAAAATTGATTGTTTCTCAATTATAGTGAGACTGGTACTAAAATTGTAATATAATCGATTATTAACGCTTGAAACTGGATGCGAGTTGCATTTAAAATTCGAATTTTGCTGCAATCTGATTGGCCAAAAACTCGACAATTTAATCTACTTAACAATTGCCCCGGTTTCCTGAAAGGGGGGGGGGTCAATTGTTAAGTAGATCCCAAGTTTCATCAATCCAAATTAAATGCTGGGGTGGAAGATTTTAAGATGTTAAGTGTTAATTTGCGAGTCACTAGTATCCTCTTCCAGGAAAAGACCAAAAAATGAAACGAAAACTGATAATTTCAAGAAAAAGAAATCAATTTTCTTAAACTTGTTTGAGCTAGTTGCGGACCCAAGAGTTTTTGCTACATGCAGTCAACCAATAGCTTCGTTCTATTGTCGATTTATCATCATACGAGGATATCAGATCTTTCACTGAAATAATATCTTTTTTGATGCTCGGTTTTGGGTCAGTTTTTTCTAGTTTTATTAGGTTTTTACTAGGATCTACTTAATAATCTCCCCCCCCCCTATTGTATCTACTAAAGAATCCCTCCCCCTCCCCTTTCGTGAAAGGGGGGGGGGGATTGTTAAGTAGATCCCTGGGGATCTACTTAACTTAACAATCTCCCCCCCCCCCCCCCCCCCCCCCATTGTATCTACTAAAGAATCCCCCCCCCCTTCTTGAAAGGGGGGGGGGGGGGAGATTGTTAAGTAGATCCGGTTTTTATTTATTCGGCCCAACTTTGAGTTCTTAAAATTGAAAGCAGAAAAAAAGTAGCTCAAATCTGATTGGTTGAGATTGAATGCGCCCCAGACGCATAATTTGAGAAACTCATTCAATCAGAAATTGATGCGCTGATGAGTTTCGTATGGAATACGGAAAACGACCCGTTTTCAGCTCCGATTTCGGATTAAATTGACATCCCCATTCCATCTAAATATACAAAGTTAAGATGTTTGTTTTGGATTAAAATTGCTTAGTGCTGCGTGGAAAATACTTGGTTGAAAATTCCAATTAAGTATCAAGTTAACGTCATTCCGCCCTAAAACACTTAAAAAGTGATGACTTTAAATTTGGGTCTCCAATTTCTATCCCAGATCCTCTTGTACCTGAATTTTGCACATGATATTCCAATGGGGAAGATATCGTTCGGAAGATAGAACACTAGGGAACTCCACGTAGGGGACAGGTTGTCGTTAAAGACCATTGGTTGCTTTCCCTTTTCTGTGCAGTTGACCCATGTCACTAAAACACAACCGAATAAAAAACAGGGTCTTTCTCATTTTACCCCTCCCCCAGACTATTAAAAAAAAGTTCCAGCCCCATCAACAGGGGCGCATCTAGGATTTTCTCGAGGGGGGAGGCGGATTTTCAAAAAAGTTTTGGGGCCTTTTTTTGATCAGCCCAATCGACTTTCCGAACATTCCCAGAACACTATAAAGACCCTATTTTGACGAAAAAATTTTGCACCGCATTCAAATTTTTGAAAAAAAAGCAGGTTAAAAAACCCGTTTTTGGAAAAATAGTAAATATTGTGCTATATTATGCTGGACTATAATTGGTAAGACCCAAATATTAAATAAAATATACTAAAAACAGACGCATCAAAAATCATTGTTTTATTTTGCCTTCTGAACCTTTGATCCACCGTGAATCGATCGTTTGACCTTTGACCAAGAGTCATATTCTTTAACCATATTGCCAAGTGAGCTTAGAAAGTCATATATTTATGCTTTGATTTCACGCGCTTTTTCAAAAGTTAGCATTGCTTTTATCGGTTTGTTCAATTTCGGCATCTTGGTTTCAATTCCTTTCATTGTTCTATTGCGATATTTTAATTGTTTCGATTCCTCAGATGGGATATTTTAATTAGCATGGGCTACATCATCCTGGGCTATTTTTACTTCAGGGATAATTTTGACTGGGATAACTTCGCCTGGGATAAAAAGGTAAAGGATAAATTGTCATGAAACCTCGGAAAGAAGCATTTGGTTCGAGGTATGGGAATTACGCGTCGCTTCGAATCAGCGGAAGACTGTCCTCGAAACTTTCGAAAAATTATTTCGCTCAAACTTATCGACGGAACAAACCGAAATTTTTGAATATTCTGAATTTCCCGCTCATCTCATGGGTAAACTTCCGGTCTACAAACATTCCGCACAAAACTAACCCTGCGGACGGCCGAAAATGGATTTTTCCATTTTTACAATATCTTTCCAGCCAAGAAAAATTCAGCTCAACCATCAATACAGTTAATTATGGTTTAAATGCTAACTCCGATTTTGCTCTCTTTCCCATATCCAAGGATAACGTTTTGTCTACAAAAAAGCTCAAATCTACCCTACGAGCTGTATCTACACATATTGACATTGGAGCTGACTCTATGACCCTGAAACAGTTGTTTGCTGACTTTAAAAACTGGTATTTCCACGCTCATCTGGGCAAAGATACATTGCACGCACCTTGTATCTTTACCCGGATAAGATAGTTGCTTCGTTATTTCAGGGCCATGAAAAACTCTGCCCGAAAAAAAAACATTTTATATTTCAGCACTTGCTTGTCAATCCTTGTTTTTCATTTATGCTGAAATGTTTTCTAGTTTCACTGCAGCCTGTATTTGATGGGTTAATTTTTTTGCGACTCTTAATTACTTCAATCATCAGCAGGGAAAATATATTTACGGGTGCTTGTGATATTGAAGTGGCGCATATCTATTTCTCCAATTTTCGGAAAATGCTTGAATATTCATTCAAAAGCGGTGTTTTTTTATTCGTTCAAATTTTAGTATTTCAACGTAAAATTTTTTTCGCTGAAAAATTTTATAATCTCATTCGAGACAATGAGCCCTGATCTCAATGTAAGAACAAAATTAGGGGCTTTCAGATTGACAGATAGTCGATTTACTCGAATTCCTGCGCGCAATTTTATGCTTTTATGTAAAATTTTCAAAAGTTAGCAGCAAACCCGGGTTGACCAAAAATGCTGGTCATACAATTTTCATATCTGGAAAAATGCTAATCATACACTTTTCATGCAATCCCATAAGTACAGAAAATTGCATGAAAGGTCAATGATTAGTATTTTTTCATATATGGAAATTGTATGACTAGCATTTTTACATAAACCAAAAATACTGATTTTACATTTCAGTTTCTCAAAATTTTTTTCGTTGTGTTCGTAACCAAACACAAATGACATAAGCCTTGGTTACTCAAACGTAGTAACCAAAAGTTTGGCCGTCTCGCATTAAAAATGCATTAGAAACAGCCTGAAATATTTAAATTCTGTCTCACACAAAAAATATAACGATAGTAACGAACTTTTAAGTTTTGGCGAAAATTTTCAAAGATGATTATTTCTAAAATTTGAATTTGTAAATTACCAGACATTGATCAAGGCATACAAAAACATGTCATACAAAAGAAAGAGGATTTTTTAGCGTTTTTGAAAAAAGTTATGAAGAGAAAAGAAAAAAAATCTAATATTAGTATATCCAAGACTACGTTATACACACAAAAAATTAAATTTTGCAGGCAAAATTTTTTTTTTCAATTTTTTTTGAGTACGAAAATTAATTTGCGGTTGAAAAAAAAACACAAAAAATTTTTTGGGGGCAATTTTGAAAATACTTTGAAAAATGTTTGTCGTCGCCATCAAAAAATGCTAGTCATACATTTTCATTATATGGAAATTGTATGATTAGCATTTTTTTTGACAAAAAGTTTTTCTTTTTATTTAGTACGATACACCGATTTTTATACCAAAACAAGAGAAAAGTTTTCCGAAAATTCGACGACACCATTTTAGCAAAATGTATGAAAGTTGTATGATTAGTATTTTTTCACAGACTTAGTTATGGAATTGTATGATAAGCATTTTTGTTCCATGGAGGTCAACCCGGGAATTAAACTTATCTGAATGCAGCGAGTTAAGCCTAGTTTCAGATGATTAATCCAAAATGAATATCATGGTAATTGGATACGAAATTTGTCTGTTAAAATGTATCTGTTTTTTGACCAAAATGACAGTTTGACAATTTACTAGACTATACATTTTCATTCATTTATGTATGATGCTTAATTAGTAACCGCATATTAAATCTTTTTTGAGTCGGCGAAAAAACTGTTACGACTTTGGAAAAAAAAGACGGAATAGTTGCGCTCGGGTATTTATTTTTATTTAACCATTTTTGAGCGGGATTTCTGATACCTAAAGCTCAAATTTAGAAAAAATTTTCAGCTGTGATTGTTTTTTGAAAAGCTATCTGGGTTTGAAAAATACCATTAACGCGCGAGATATTTCGTACTTCTCAATTGCAAGCGGCCATTCAATCCGCTAACATAATAAAGCTTTATTGAGGGATGATGTTTGATGTTATTATTGGTGGCCAGTCAATAAGGAGAATGGTCTAAGAGCAGAATGGGTCCAAGAACAGAAAAATAGATAAATATCAACTTCTATAAGCTAATCGGTAAAATAATTATCAGAAATGTCAGTAATAGCAAAGCAACGAACAATTTATGCATATTTTCAGCAATTTAATCAAGAATTTAACAAAAAAATAATCAAAAAACTTAATGAAATTAGTCAATTCATGCGTAATTCATTCGTTTTCTTGGTATTTTTTGACGATTCTAATAATTGTTTTATCAATTAGCCCTTATAAACCAATATAAGTCAAAATTTTTATGTTTTTTGTGCTTTTGCACCCATTCTGCACTTAGATCATTCTGCTTTTGCTCCGCTTCCTTATTATTATGTAACTAGACGCTAAGAACATGACAATTCACTAGGCATAGCGTTTGGGAAAAGTTTTTTAAAATAAATTCCTTTTTTCCTTGAAAGTTAAGTCAGTTTTTTTTTCAACAAAAATTTTCAAAAGCTGTTTCAAAAACGCCGTAGGGCAGTCGAAACATTCAGGGCGTCGTGTGAGTCAACTTTCAAATCATTATTCCAGAGTAATTAGATGCAAGCCTTATCCACAAAAATTTTCATATGTGCTTAAGGGGGCGGATAATCAAAGAAACTCTAAGATACTGTCGTTACTTCAAAGTTTCTGGAAAAAAACTGAGACGGATTCGGAGGCGGTAACAAAGTTCAGGATTTCGTACGTATACTAGAAGTGATGCTTTGATCCTTTTTTGGCTGGCCAAGTTCCTAATTATCGTTTGCTCTTGTTTAATCAAGTTCTTCCCTTCATCCTTTTTGATCTCGGCTAATGTTGATGAGAACAGTTGATGAGAATTTTCTCATTTGCAGATATTTTCCTGTTTTTTTCCAAAAACTATCTCCTCAACTTCAAAAATCTTGTGCCAAATTAAATGCTTTTCATAATTGGATCGCATTGTCTTTTACTAGATGCAAAGCACTCACTTGAAACTATTCTTTTTCAAATATTTTGAGTGTGTTATCTTTAATTTTTGGCTCATTTGTTTTTACCAACCGTTCTGACAAGAAAATGATTCAAAACGTTTCGATACAAATAGTGTATTACAAGCCTGAAAAAATCAAATGGCGTTGATTCAGAATTAGTTATGTTTGACAAAAAAATGTACTCTAAAAATCAATTTTAATCTCTTCAAACCCTTTGTTGGCTTTTTATTATTTCAATTAAATACGGATTTGAGTTTAAAAATGCGATTTGAATTTATATTCAAATTGATTCTATCCACTTTTATTGTTTTTTATCTAAATATACCGATTACATACAGTTTTTATTCAGTTTTTCTCGAAAACCAAACATTATGGAAAAATGGAAATTAAAATATGACGTATGCTCTACAAAATATTTTGGGTTGATGTTTGCCTGAGAAAACTTTGAGTGTAACTCAAAATTGAATTATCTGCTTCAAATTTGATTTGTTTTAATACGAGTTTTTTAGTTATACATTCTATTGTAAACAAAACTGCGCCTAGAACGTCAATAATGAGTAATGAAGATCAATTTCAAAAGTATTGCCTTATTTTACGAATGATCATCGCGGCAATCTTTAGATTTGCAAAAATTAAGAAAAACCCTTAAAAAACTCTCTCCTCAAAAGCTAAAATTTTGTTTAACTAAAATTGTTGAGAATCCCTTTATATCTATTCTAGTTCAATTTACGAATGTGAACGGGATATTGTCAATAAGTTTTATGAAGTACCTTATCTGTATAAAAATGTACGCAAATCGGTTTCAATCTCAACTTTGTCAGTTCGTAACTAATTGTATACTTTTGTAATTGTATAATTTTGCATAACTCTACAGGACAAATTGCAATCTTTTTTGGCACTGTTTCTTTTATCTGATAATTTTTTGTTTTTGTTCCAATTTATAAAATAAAATTCGGAATATATGCTTGGGGTTTTTTAGATTGGGTCAAATTGCAAACTACGTTGAAAATGTCGACTCCTTGAGTTCAAATCTGAAAGAACTTGTTGCCTTCAAATATTTTTTGAGAGGTTGTGGGGTTTGTAAAATGCTAATTTGGTATAACTCTGGTCTAATTTGTGTGCGCTGTGAACATTTATTTTAAGTTGCTGAAAAAGTAACGTAATTTATTAATGCAAGGTGAGTTATCCCGCATAACAAATTTTTTCTGAATTGAATTGAAGCAAGCTATCTGGCCGTAATTGTTTCGTTCTACTCAAAAATTTTACAAATGATATTTTAAATTTGTTTAATTAATTTTATTCACAAACAACTATACGATACAGATTAAAGGGCAGTCGTAACATTTAGTTATTCGTTTTGGTTCACGACCAGTCTTTTGTTTTCACTAATCATACAAACAATTTATTCTAATTTATAGAAAGTTTTTATTATTATACTTTGTTCTGACTAAAAGTAAATAGCACAAAATTTTAACTTGCTTGGGCGAGTTTATGATACAGACGTATCACGGCAATTTAAGTGATAGTTTCAACAAAAGTTTTAATCTTCCAATGAAGATTTAGACTTTCTAACCTCTGAAGTAAGAAAGCATTCAAACCGCAGCTTAATTTGATAAGTTTATGGAGGCTGGAAAATTGCCAATTTGATCAAGTTTTGGACTAGTTTATGAGCGTATAAATGAATTCATTTTTGATGATGTTAGTTCAAATAAAAATTATTCAAGTCCTGCGTACTATCCCGCTTTCAAAACCATTCTAGATGATTTGAACAAACTAATTTGTCATATTATTTCCCTATTTAACCATACTTAACTTATTAGACTAAAGTTTTTTTGAAAAGAAAACTGGATAATCAAATGACTAAGTGTTTTTTAGAGAGCTATTTTAGCTATGAAACTTTGACAAATTTCATGATATTTAAAAAAAGGAATCGGTTCACGAATATTTATTTCAATCAAGCTATTCAAGCTACGAACCTTTGAAAGTTTTCATGTTGTTTTGTGGTTCAAATTGGTTTGCGAAAAGTTTCAATTTTGTAAGCAAGCTTTTAAGCTATGAAACTTTAAAATAGCTAGGAAACTTTAATGTTTCCAAAAACTTGGTTTTTTCTACGCAAGCTTTTTAAGCTATAAAACTTTGAAAGATTTCAAGTTATTTCGTGGACCCTATATATTGACTTGCCTGTTGCAAATGATATATTTGCACTTAGTAATGCAATATTATCATGTTCACAAAATGTGCTGTCGAGCAGTTTGCCTCAACTAAATTTGGAATGCTTTTTATATTAAAAAGAACCAACGCGTAGACTGAGCGTTATTGGAAAACTGGATCAATTATTGGAAAATTGCATTATTAAAAAACTGAAACGACTAGTAAAAACTCTAGTACACTCTCAGAACACATATTTTGAAAACTAATCTTATACTTACAAGTTTTGACGAATTTTTTGTCCTATCTGAAAAATCAAGTAAAAAAAGATATTTCTGCTCCAGAAATGATTAGCAAAAATGTGATGCCAATTTTCAGCTCAAAATTTTTTTATTCAATCATCAGCACTGACATTTTTTTCTTATTTAAACTTTCAGGTGAAGCAAAAAATTGGTCGAAACTTGTAATTTCAGATATTTTCTTGCGAAGACTGATTTAAAAAAGTTTTAATCAACTTTTTAGTAATCGTTTCTCAAAACTCTGAACAATTTTCAATTTTACGTTCCCACCGAAAACGCGTTTAAACATAGTACATTTGAAGAAATTTTAAAACAAATAGTCGGTTGCAAAACTACCAGCTCTTTTTTCTGACTGCTTCTTAAAGATTATGGAGCAGTGTTCGTTTTGAAAAAACAATTCAATACAGAAAACATGAAAAACGTTTTTTAATCATCTCCCACGCTCTAAGCAAAGGTCAAAATGAATTAGTTCTCTTATCGAAAAATAATGAAAAGACCAAATCAAATGCATCAGTTCATTTTGAAACTAATTCTAAAATGGATTAATTATCCGCTTTCGCTTCAGTAGCACGAAATGTTAGGTTACCAAACTGTCGACCATATTCCAGCACCCCTTCTTGAGAAATGCTCTTTCGAAAAATGCTCACAGGTGAAATATCATTAAATTTAATTTCAGGAAGTCAATACTTTTCAGATGGTTTAAATTTTTTGTTAAAAAATGGCTAGTCAAAATTGGTGTGAAGAAAAAACACCACTAGCTCAAATATTCCGTAACTTTCTTCAAAGTCGGAAAAAAAACAAAAAATAATTATAACCTTAATTCTCATCTTAGTTATAATCTTTCTATACGAATTTTATAAGAACCGTTGTTGTAGTTATGCTTTTTGGAAATTGGAAAGTTTGTGTGCAGACGCAGGAGTGGATCTAGAATTTTCTCAAGGGGGGCGCGATTTTTAAATTTTTTCTAAATTTTGTTGACTTTTTTTTAGGTAGACCAAATTGATTTTTTGAACTCTCACAAAGCATAAAAAAAGTCCATGTTTTGACCAAAATGCCTGCACCTCAGGCAAAATTCTGAAAAAACAGTCCAAAAAGGCGTTTTTAGTTTTTAGGCTTTTTTGAAAAATGTTGACCAAAAAACCGCGTTTTTCGGCGCGCGCTCCCTCTTAGAATTAGTATGTATTGGCGCCAAAGGCCCCTTTAGAAAAATTTTAAGGTCTTTCAGCCAAAAATGGATATCTCAAAATAGCTCAAAGAGGGGACCCTTTGGGTCGGCTGGGGGTCGAATCCCTGAGACAAAGGCGTCCAACCCCCCCCCCCCCCCCTGAGTCCGCCCTGTACAGACGTCTTGTGCATTGTTTTTGTTTTAGACGGAGAGTTTTAGCATTCATTTTTTCTGATTCACGAAATATAAAAAAAATACATATAAACTGATAATGGAAAGCCCGTTTAAGTAAGGCACATTGTTTCTGCTCTTTACGAACAAAAGCGATTTTTCTGTAAATTTTGGCCGAGAATTCGAAACATGCCAAATTTTGGCCGAGACGGTCGATGCATAAAGTTAGAACCTCAACACGCGTTCTGTTCAAGAAATTTTGCCAGATCCGGAAAATAAGAACTTTTTTGCCCGAATTGAAGTTGTTGAGCTTACCTATGAGTCCAAAGAAGAGAAAGGCGATCCTGCTAACCATTTTCTTGAAACTCAGTCATTAAAATTAGTTCACAGTATCTGACATTTCAATAACAAACTGAGCAAACATGGCTATATTTGTGAATTTTGCAATCTTTAAAGTTCAGAATGTCATCTCTTCTAACTAAAACTAATATTCTGTTTATTTCCGGTTAGTATTTAATTCATTTTCACAATCCTGTCCAAATACTGTTGTAGTGTTACTTTTGTATCCCGAGTCGAGATTTTGCACCTAATTTGAAGCAAGATTTGAGCGGTTTGAGCGGTTTTTTTAGACGATTTTGCTCAAAAACTTGCTTCATAATGAGATGTTTGAGCGGTTTTTGTGCGGTTTTTTCTAAAACACCGCGCCAGCTTTGAACGGTTTTGAGCGGTTTTTCTTAAAAAACCGCCCAAAAACCGCTCAAATCTTCTAGGAAACTCTATAGTGTTTACATACAGTGACACCTAAGCCAGCCGAACTAAGATCCAACTACCATAAAACCAGCCGAAAAACTCAAAGCGCTATGAATTTTTTTGTAACAGTTATGTAATCAACAAAAATCCTGCGAGTTTCAACAAAAAAGACGTAATTTTGGCTAGTTTGAACATTCTGCTTTTTTTTGATTCGTTCATATTTCGTGTTGTTTTTGGGCACTCGATTCATTTGTGTTGACTAAGTGGCAGAGGACCAGCATGATTTCGAGTGCGGTTGTAATATGTAGTTAATGCCAAATTGTTGGGAGTATCTTTTCGGTCAACGAATTTGAACGAAGTTAATTAACCAAAAACTGCTATTTTTGACGTCAGATTTCTGTTTTTCATTGATTTCCACACGTAAAAACCATGTCCAAAAAATTTTCCTAAAATTCTATAGTTTGCGACCAATTAAACTGCTCAAGGTCACCAATATTGCCAACAATTTGGCATTAAAAAGAGATCCCATCATGTCCAACAAAGTAAACATATTAACAACGACAAAGATAGCTAAAAACAGAACGTTGCAAAAAATGAACAACAGACGCAGGGTAGGTTTTCGCGCAGTTATGGGGTGAACACCTCTCGCATCTCAAGAATTTAATGCCCTTCTCACCCTAGCTCAACAAGTACTATAGGGCGCTGTCGTGTCCGGACAATTTGGAAACATACGGTAATCGGGAAAAAGCAAAAACAGAAAAGGGTCTTTTTATTTATTCCGCCCAAATTTCTCAATTTTACGATTTTGTAATATTCAATGTATGAATGTTGAGAACAATATACTGATAACACTGGTTGGTTTGAGTAATACAAAGAAGATCACTTTTCGCTGAGTGCAGGGCTCGGCTAGTGAAAGTTTCTTGCTAATGTGATGGCAGGTCTCAAAGAATTGCGAAAAGACATGACAAAGGGAACAGATAGAGTAGATGAGAGAGCTCATAATGGCCATGAAAAACTGAGAGACGAGCTAGCTGATGCTATATCGCAGGTTAATTATGACCAAGCCCTGCTGGCTCAGAAAACTGATCAATACCTGGCAGATAGTTTGTCCGTAGCTGCCAGGGAATCCGAAGAAAGAGAACGTAAAATCATGCAGAAAAAAGAGCGACTACAGAACAATTATGATGAAACCAATTCTCACACGATGACAAACTTGGAAAGTCGACTGGATGCCAAGGCCAATCCGATGATGCAAAAACTCGATGATTTTTTCGAGTAGCAGCAGCCGAACAGATTTCTCAGACAGGAATGAGAATACACGTGAAGCAAACCTCAGACACACAGAGGCACCCACGAGACCTGGAGCAAACTTCGAGTCTAGGGAAAAGGAAAGGCACAAAGCAGCAGCACCAAGGCCATACTGGACGAACCCGGTCCAGCTTGAAATGGGAGCCTTCTTGGGACACATTTGCCAGCGATGTTCCAGGTTAGGTCAGTTCTAGATCTGACAACGGTGTCGCATTTTGAACCGCTCAATAATTCTCTCGAAACGCTCATCACGAAACTCTCGAAGTCCACTTAAAGAGGAGGCTGATCATGAATGAAGCTGAACAAATGAAAGTCATTTACGGACGAGTCCGATGGCTGCATCGACAACTGGATAGAGGTGATGAGGCTCCACTTCAAAGAAAAAGTCTCTCGAAAACACAGAAAGGCAGCGTGCTGACAAATAATCAAGAATTAAAATAAACTGAACTGTGTCATGGCGAAGAGGGCGGATGAACGTGAAAAGTGCTCGGAGGATCTTCCATAATATACTTGATCGTTTCAGCTCTGAAAGTACAAAGACATCAGGCGATGGTGAAGTTCGAGAAGAGGGCCAAAGAGATGATTAGTCCGTCGACTTTTTTTTGATGAACTCGAACAACTGAAAAAGAGAAGTAACCCTGACAAGTAATTTCAGAAATGAACCTATCTAAACGCTCCAATTTTATGGACACGGTGAGAAGCGACGAGCTGAAGAAAATGCTGGTCACTGACTTCACCTTAGCAGCAGGTTTGTGTATCCACGCCAGATGACTTGCGCAAAAACCTATTAAGCAAAATGAGAGCTCAAAATTTTTACAGCATTTTTGGCAATTATAGTGGCATGAATTCTGGAATTGGTTCGTGATTCGTGACGTTATGGACAAGAGAAGGGCACAAACTGGACCATCACAAACTGGACCATCACGTTTCGTCTTGCTCTAGTCAAAACCAAAGCATGGAAGCCATTGGTTACTTCCTTGACGATGTGTACGCGACAGATGATGACTATGAAGAATATGTGAGAGGTCTTATCATGAAGTAGGTCCCGCGATGTTTCTCCTGCAACCTCGAGCGGCAGTTTAAATTAGACTCTACTCAGTTTTGGGATGAATTAGCTGACGCGAAACACACTCGAGACGAAGAGGCGGTAACGAGAGTGAAAGCCAGTCGAGCATGTCTAATGAATGAAACCGAGCTGAGAAAGAAAGACGCGTCATAAAATACCTTCGCAGCAAAGATAGTGAAGCCTAGACCAATAGACGCTGTTTCCTCAATTCTAGATGCAGTCTCTGCTAAATCGCTTAAGGTGGATTTTGGCCTGGCAGTTTCAACCGCATTGCAAAAGTTTCAACAGGATTTGGCAACCAAAGAAATTGAGCAATGGATGAGGTCAGAACTAGAAAAAACTGAACAGCGTGAGAAGTTAGGCACCATAGAAAAGACTCCGAAACTGGAGAAGAAGGAAATACCCATAAGCCGAGGTCTGAAAAAAATTTTAACTCCGGGAAGACATTGGGAATGACCAGAGAAGATAGCAAAATATTGTCCGTGAGTGGATTCCGGGTCACCAAGTATGCAAATTACTTGCGCGAGAAACACCCAAAGCTAGATTCCAGAGCGGTGAGGGCGTTACTCACAACATACGAACCAAGGCTAATGAGGGTAGTTGACAGTATATGGAACTCTAATGCCCTTAACCAATGTTGATGAATGTATATGTCATTAATACCTACGCCAAGGCCCATGTCAAAAAGGCGAACGAGCAAGTGGAACAATGAAGAAGAAGAATAATTGAAGGTTCGACGCATTGGACATGCTCGAGCAGGAGGCAGTCCTTATTGGGTGTGAGGCCAATTTGTCAGCACTCGTGCTGGACACAATGCAAAGAGCTCTCAGTCAAAGGCCTGTTGGACACCGGCGCGGTTGTCAAGGCCATGTCCATCAGCACTTGGTCCAACATAGGCTTTGACAGGTCGGACTTGAACCCAACTAGTATCCGACTAGCCGCGGCCAACCAAGGTGCTATTTATGTAGCTGGATTGACACCAAACACCAATCATCTCGCTGCAACTGGATGGAAGGCATCTCGGACGAGCTTCCTAGTCGTCGAGAACCTGAACAAGTCCGACCAGTTCATTTTGGGATGCAGCTTCGTGCGCAACTCTACTGTTACAATTACTCTCAACGATGGATTAACTTGAATTAAAAACCCAGATTGGAAGTTTGAAAAGACACCATTAATAAGATCCTAATAAATCAAGCCAAGACGCCGATTTTCCTAGATCGAAAAGTTAGACTAAAACCAAATCAAGTTGTTGTAGTCACAATTAGGCTGAGAAATTTAAACGAACTTAGCAATAACCGACAGGTGTGTCCAGTTCAAAACCCAAAAAGTAAGAGCTGGGCTATTTTAGCAAGATGTTTCTCAATCACCCAGAACGGACAGTGTGAGCGTGTTGCTGAACAAGTAGGCGGGATCAGTAACGATACAGTGTGTAAGGAAACTTGATAATGCCTTCGAACACAGAGTATCAGAATTGCCTTCGAACACAGAGTATCAGATAAAAGAAAACTTGAAGCAGTTTAAAGAGACTGGGTGTCCGTTAATTGCTAACAGAGAGTGTATATTGAAGAGAATAATTGATCGAAAGTTTTTGAAGAAATTGTTCTCCATGCAATCATAGACAGATGACTGAATGTCTTTTTTTTCAAACTTCACTTAAAGGTCGTCTGATGCAAACTTAGCAGCATAAAAACCAGTGTTACTCGAAATAGAGCACCTTAAAGGTAAAAAGTTCGTTAAAGTGCTGTATTTCTTAGGGACGGGCTGAATCAGATCACAGACGTTGTTTCGAAGAAGCAGGCCGACATAGGTAGTAGTAGTACACGAGATAGAAAAAGAAGAGGGCTCGGTAGCTCACAGGGAATTAGCTAGGAGAATGACGCCATACAAGTCAAAAGCCTGATGGAAAAAAACTGAAACGTTGGTGAAATATGATATGATATGATTGAGCCATCTATGTCCCCGTGGGCTTTTGGAATGGTCATGGCTAAAAAGGGGGCAACCTAAGTTTTACTATGATTTTTGCTATTTGATAGCTCTAACGATGAAAAATGTCTATCCAATCCAACACATTGATGAAAGACTCAAGAAGCTAGGAGACGCGAATTTCTTCACGACGTTGAATTTGGGCTCTGTGTTCTGGCAGGTGCCTCTCATGAAGCAGGACCGAGATAAAAACAGGCCTGGCGTTGAAACTCGGACTTTTTTTAATGGAAGAGGATGCCTTTTGGACTGTGTAATATGATAGCCTAATTTCAACGAATGGAAAATGGCTACACCGACTCTGGGAAATCTCGTAGAAAGG